TTTAAAACACATGCTGGAGCTAAAGAGAGAACAGAGTGGACTCAGGTGATCTCTCATGTCCCTCTTACCCCAAAGCTCATCCCCCGTCTCTGATTCAGACTCCCTGTGTCACTGAGAAAGGAAAGGAGAGGAGTGATGGACTCTCCCTCAGGAATTTACAAGCTTACTAAGCTCTCCAGAGCCAAGTGCTCCCCCAAGAAACGAGATGAGCCACATTCTGCACTTTTCAGTTTATCAGACCCATTGCCCTATAATATGCACATGAATGAATCAGAGGTCTCTGGAAAATATTATTATCTGAACAAAGGAGATAGTTATTTGATGGGAAGCAGGGTAGGTGGAATGTCCAGAACACACCTGAATCTCTTCTGCTGATCCTGTCTAATTATGTTCTGGCTCCCAATAATAACAGCTCCAGAATCTGAAATGTCAGATGGTACTGAATCAGATTAGCCCCAGAAGGTTGCTAGAGGGTTGGTGATAGTTACAGAGCCTACTTATCTTGTCATATGTCTTAATGCAGACTAGGACAATCTCCCTAGAGCTATCCAAGCTACAGCCCCAGTGATTAATCCACTGACGATGTTCCTTGAGGAGTTCAGACCCCAAATATCCTCACTCTGTACATAGGTAAAGACCTAAATTCACTCAGAAGCCCAGTTGGGTCAATGCTACATGCAGAGGACAGAAGACTGGGTCTTCCAATGGGCCCATTTTAAACTAATCAAAGAGGAAGCACCTCCTTACACATATAGCCACACTTACAAGGTCACATAGCTACCTAGGGGAATCATAGTTGTGATCACGTTTATAGTGCAACAGAATTCCAGAGCCCAGTGGATCCTACCGAAGACCTAAATCTCCTTTTAATCATGATGAAACCAAGGCCGGAGAAGGTCAGGGAGTGCTGTGAGGTCATGCACCTTGTTAGGCCCAGAGCCAAGTACCGGGGCCTCTGAGCAGTACATTATCTGTAGATCACAGTGAACAAAAAAATAGAAGTCAAAGAACAAATGGGAGACACAATAGAGGATGCACAACAAGGTGTAGCAAAGAAATCAAGGAAAGTTCTATGGAAGAAATGAGTCCCAAACATTCAGATTGCACTAACCTTGTATAAGTAGCTCAATTGCCCTAAGTGTTACTGTTTTTCTTCTCTAAACTGATCATCTTAAGAAATTTGTGAAATAGTATTCAATCTTCTCAAAAAAGAAAGATGAAATTGAGGCTCTGAGAGGCTGCCCCCTATCCACTATTGAACATACTCTATGTCATGGACTCAGTCCTGAAGCCTGAGTTCAGCTCTTTTCCCATGCACCTCTGTGTCTCCTTTACCCAGTTAGTCTTGGATTAAAGGGTCCTAATATGGAGAAGTAGGCATCTACTTAAATGCAGGAACTCTAAAATGAGAATTTACCACTTCATTTGAGATCTCCCTCTTCCAGACCTTCCAAGAGTTTCAGACATTGTAGAGGTATCACAGCTTCTTACTGCTGTTGTAACCACACAATTTGTGAGTTAAAACAACAAAAAAAAGTGTGTTATAGCTCTGGAGGCTAAAACCAAAATACCAGTGAGGCTGCGTTTCTCTCTGGAGGCTGCATGGGGCCATGTTTCTCCTCCTTTTTCCCAGCTTCCATACACCACCATTGGTCTGCGCTCATGGTCTCCTTCCATCTCTAAAGCCACCAGTAGGCAACCAAGTCTTTCACATTAGATCCAAACTTTTCTGTTTTCCTTTCCACTTTTAAAGATCCTTGTGGCTATTTGGGCCCCACCTGATAATCCAGGATAGTCTCCCTATTTTAATGGCATCTGATTAGCAACTTAATTCTACAAACTACCTTTCTTGCTATCTTAATTCTTATTTTCTAAGTAACCAAACACTTAGTGACTCTGGAGATTAAATTATGTCCTTCTTTGATAAGTCATTGTACTGCCTTCTACAGAAGGATGTTTGGGTCAGTTTCAAGAATATTTCACTATCATGAATCAATTCAATGGCAGAGGCCTTTTATAGAAGTCAACCTTTGGGTTCTATCTAACTGCGTTTGGTACCTACCAGGAGAACATAACCCAGTCTCTCTTGCTCCATGCGTTGCCATTTAATCACCTTATCCTTGGGCTCAACCAAAACCACAGAAAAATATGCAGTGTAAGAGTTACCTCATGTACTCTGTTTAAGGAAACTTAGGGAAATCTCAGTCAAGCCAGTCTCCTCCCTAGTCTCTCACCCATCCCTTTTCTAAACTGGCCTCAGGCTTTCCTTCCAGGTCACCTGCATCTCTGTATTCCAACAGACTCCTGTCAAGGATTCTTTTTTCAAGGCTGCCTGAAATGCCACTTTCCACTCTCATTGTTGGAGCAATTCTGTCAAGTAAGATATAGCTCACGGGCTGGTGAGATGGCTCAGTGGTCTAAAGCACCTACTTAGAACAAGTTTAGCAAAGCAAAGGGACCACGGTTCAATCCCCCAGCACCACATGCCAGCCAGCCCCGCCCCCTGGTGGGCTGAGCTGGCCACACACACACACACACACACACACACAAATAAATTTTAAAAAATTTTTTAAAAAAGACATAGCTCACATCTTCTCAGCAGCCTTCTATGACTTTTCTTCTCCAGATAAATAGGTGGAGTTTTTTCTGGGGTATGAGGGCTCTGCCCATCTCTATAAGCCTGTGAACCCCTTATAAAACAAGGCTGAAAATGACTGAAAGAATAAACTCATAAATTTATTGGTGAGGAATCCTTGCCTGTTAGGACACAAGAGAGTTTGTCTCTTAAGCACCATTCTACAGAAAAGACAAAGGATACGAAAAGGGAGAAAAATGGAAGGGGAGATACAAAGAGAATAAAAGGAAGGGAAAAGAGAGAGATGGTTTACCCATCCCATTTCTAGTCACCCAGTTCCAAAATACACCGAATGACTTTATCTCTTCCAACACTTTATGGGTCTCCTAAGTCCCTCCCGACCCCAGCATCTTCCTATCAGGACACCAAGAGGTCCATCTGGAGTTACATGAGTCTTGCTTGCACCAATATCAAAAAAACAAATAACTACCTGTTCCCCATGCAGCTCACCTTTTAAAAACTCTTCAGCTACCCAGTGTCTATAACCTATAGAAACATGCAAAGGTATTCCTGATTTCAACTAGTGCTTCTCTTAAGAAGTGACCTAAGTCTTCAAGTTAAGGGTATATTTTACCTTCAAGTTCAGGGGAGAAGGTACATCATCATTGTAAAAGTGCTTGAGATTTGATCAACGTTAGAGAAAAAGTCACCACTTTATGAACTTTAAGGGCTTCTTTCATAATCCGTTCCCATCTTCCTCTGTCCCCAGCTACCTACAACATCCACCATTTAATTCCTTCATTAATCCATTTACCCCACCAATAATCATTTATCTCAGATCATCTTCCACTTGGTGTACCTATGCTATAAAGCCTTCACCTTTTAAAAGCTTAAAACCATGTAACTGGCATTCATGATTGCAAAAATAAATGTCAAATAAGTAGCACCAACAATAGGTACTATGGGAGTTTGTAAAGAAGTGTATTCCCTTTTGATTCACAGTAACCAGAAAGGTTCCTGGAAGATGGTGCTTGAATGGATCTTGAGGAATGCTTAGCATTTCAACAGCAAAGAGAAGGAAAGAACCTCAGGTAAAAGGTGACAGAGTAAACCAAGACTTAGAGGTAGAGGAAAGTGGGTGTGTTCACTTTGAAACTTTTCCTTTCATCCTCTGGCTTTTATTGGCCTGAGTTCTAAGAAAAGGTTTTTAGAAGGCAAGGGCATGAGCTAAACTTGTCATGACCTGTCTTCTTGGTCACCATGAACACTCTGTGACTCTACTTTCAGAAGGTATCATAAATCAAGGTTGAAAAGATGAATATTGCCTGGCCTTTCCCTCTTCTCTGCTTCCCAACACAAGAGGAAAAATGACTCCAATTTCCCTCAGGACCTATATGTGGGAAAATCATTGTGAAGGAAGTTATATCCCTTTTCTTTGCTTAGAACCATGGGACAAGCTGTCTTCCTTGGGTCTTTAGAACTTTCTGGATTCTGCAAAGGGGCGTCTATTGGGACTGTATGAACTTTGCCATTTGGACGCTTTGCCGAGACAGACCCTGGGATGTAGACATAAAGCCTTCTCCCTGGTGAAGATGGATGAGCAAGGTGGATCTTATCTCATACCACATCCTGAACCAGCTTGGGCAGACAAGATGCCTCACCCCATGGTTTAACAGACTGAGATAACATTTTATGAACATTCTTCTGTTGCTGCCTCTAATGAAAGAGATCTAACAGGAGCCCCTCCCTGCTGAGGTCTGGTGAAGACCCAGAGGCTAAAACTCTGGCTGATTAACAGGCATCCCAAGCAGTGACTCAAGCCATCCGTGATTTCAGAAGAAGCTCGTTGCGGTGACGCCATGAACAGGATTTCAGCCCCACGTGGCCCTTCAGTCCTGCAGAAGGACAGAGCAGGCACGATATAAAAGTTCCCCGCCTTGCTGTTGTCCACAATCCACATCCTTGGTTGAGTCTTGTTGAAGATCAGGTAAGTGGAGACACCTGCGCCCTCTGTCTCCCTGCTGCTCAATCTGTGTGAGACCACGGTTCTGCTCTTCCCCTGTAGTGTATTTTCTACTGATTTTTAAAGAGATCTATCTTTTCTCAAGCACTGATAATTACCTTCTGTATTCTATCTAGTCTCTTGTTTCTGATTTTCAAAAGAGTTGGTAAAAGAGAAGAAAAAGGAAACAGGTATGGTGGGCCTAGGGTTTGGGGATTATGGCTTTTCAGAGAAAAACTATGAGGATACTTTCACATTGCAGGTGAGTGCAAGAAAGGAATGAAGCAGGGATAGAAAGAGAAATGGATGAAGAATGGGAGGGAAATGAGTTCTCTCAACCTTCATCCCTGTTTCCCAATATGGTATTTTTAATGAAGATTATTTTAAATCTTATGTTTGTTTCAGGTTCTACAAATCCTTAGTATGTCCTTCAGTGAACAGCAGTGCAAGCAGACATGTGCACCCCCACCATGTCTTCAGCAGACCAAAGAACAGTGTCAGGCACAGGCTGAGGTAGTGTGCCTCACCCAGCACCAGGACCCCTGCCAAGAGAAGGGCCTAGGACAAGCTCAAGAGGTATGTGGCTCTCAGTGCCCAGAGTTAACCCAAGAAAGTTGCCCACAGCAAGTCCAAGATCCATGCCAAGACCAGTGTCTACCTCAGTGTGTGGAGCCATGCCAGGAGTTAGCCCAGGCAACATGTGTGGAGGTGAGCCCACAGAAAGCCCAGGAGAAGTGCTCACCCACTGGCAAGGGGAAGTAGCTGCTCATATGCCAGCTGGAGTCAAGAAGATGGCCAATGGATGAAAACCCAACCCTAGCCCCAACTCTGGTGACCTTTTCCTCAGTGTACAATGCACCTTCTTGCCTCTTGGCTTCCTCAGTACTCCAGGACTTGATCTCTGAAGACAGTTCTCTCTGTATTTTATCAACCTCTATGAGTAAGTGTTGTTCTCAGCAGCCTGGTGGAACACCTCAAATGTAGGAATAGTGTGGTTCTCAAGGAGACCACCAAAACCCAATATAGCTCCCTTGGGGCAAAATTCACCCAGCCCTTGGTGTGTAATGATGAAGAATGATTTTTCACTTCCTTTAGAATGTCAGGGTCTTATTCAAGCCTCATAAAAATCTGACTCTGACGGACTTTGAGTTTATTGTCACTACTACAACAATGAGTTAAGAAAACATCAGTTATGGTGCAAAAATCAAAACTTGGGTACTTTTTTCTCTTCCCTGAAGAGGGGCAATAATTGGACATGGTAATGTTGGGTAGGCTTCTTAAAAATGAAACAAGATCACCTAAATGATTAAGTTCCATCATCAATAAGAAAATCTAAGATGGGATGTTTGGGTCTTTATCAATCTTTATGCTTCATGCTGGTCTTTTGAGACCCTTCATTCTCATCATGTACACTGTTGAAATGTGATTTGTGACTCTGTGATACAAGCTGGTCTGTTCTCCAGCTTCTGTACCTTATTCTCTGTGGGGAAGGTAAAATACATAATAAAACTGATCCTAAGGCTAATATCTGAATTGGTGTGTGTTCTGTCCTATCCAGCACCCAAACCTCTGTTGTCTTTGTGGTGAATATTTTCTCCCTTTAGGAAAGAGTCTTAAGTGGGAATAAAACCCAGACCTCACATGAAAGGACCCACACCCGGGTTCAGTTGGATCACCTCACTCACGGGCTCTCCCGGGCTCATCCATGCCCACACTTTACACATGAGAACATGCAGCACAAGGCTGGGACCTGCTTACATTCAAAATGCCAGCTCTAGGTTCTCTCCATTGTAGCATCTTTCCCTTTTGAACCTTGCTCTCCAGAGGAAAAGGCTGAAATGAGGCAGAAGGAAATTGTGTTAGAGGTGTCTGAAATCTGCCCAGCACATCTAGAAATACAGCAGCCACATCAAAGAGAAGAACTAAACATGCTTCTGAGATGAACACAGAGTCAAGGATCAAATGTGTCAGCCCTGTCTTCTGGCCATTTCAGGAGAGCCAGGCAGTCTGGCTATCCTGGCCATGCGCAGTGCTTCTTGGCCTGTAGAATAAATGCAGACCATGCACTGGAATTGTGTGGAAGGACTGCAGAAGCACAGGAATGACATGAAAGAGCTGAACGCTGCTTCCTCAGTGGTGCCTCGGGCATAGGGCAAGCTATATCAAGACTCCACCTTCTGCAGCAGGAAGGGCTTCTTATCCACTCTTCCCATACTCTCCTCACTCCATCAGTATGAGAAAAGACCCTTTCCTGAAGGTCATATAGGGCCCATCTCGCACCTGTTGGCTGAAGTGAGGGCTTGAGGCCCTAGAATCATACAGGACTCTGATCACAGAGATGCCCTAGGTTAGGACAGAGTGGCAGCATGATTTGGGGAAGGCTTCAAGAGACAACACATAGAGAAGCATTACAGATGCACTGAGTCTGCAGGTGTTGGGCCAGGCCATGACGTCTCTGGCCATTCTCTGAGGGAATCCTGGTAGCAACTTCAGAGTTCAGCTTCCCTTGTCCGGTCTCACAAAATCAGTAAATGATGACAGCAGGATTCTAACTCAAGTCATTCTAACTATCAAACAGAACTCATATCTGACAAAAGTGCATGTGCCACCCAAAGAAATTTCTAAGACCATCTCTTCATTGGTTCATTCTTCCATCTAACAAGTGCTGCCTGATCACTTGCCAAGTGTCAGGCTTCATGCATGTTAGATTCTAAAGAAATGATGATGAAACATGTGGTTAGTGTCCCTGTGTAGCTCTTAGCTCTCCACAGGGCCACATGTCTTTCCAAGAGCCTCCTGCACATCTCAAACCCCTGAACATTTCTAGCCATATGAATTATAGTTCTCTTGCCTCCCACCTCGTTGAAACAGACTTTCTCATCCACACCCAACTTTGGAATAAGCCAGCTGATCCCCAAAGCCAGGTGCTCACCATGGTCCCATCTGTTCCCCAGGGCCTCATCCTGAGGAAGCCTCAGGGAGTCTCTCTATATATGAAGTTCCTAATAAGGCTGAGAGAAGCATCTAGACATTTTTGCTTTCTCCTCATAAAGACAAGCACAGTTAGAGTTCCGGACCAGATACCCAGACAGAGAGAAGGTGTAGGGCTAATAAGCAGGGAGAGTCCAGCAGATCAGACAGAGGAACAACCTAGTGATTACTGGGGAGGCCTCAGCAGATGGGAGGGAGACAAGCCTGCAGATTACAGATAAGAAAGCAACAGTAACCAGTCAGCAGGCCTTCAGCTAGCTGTCATGGGAACTGCCACACCTTCTTTGAGGTGCTTCTGCTGGAGCCTTGTCCCTATGGACACAGATGCAGGCCATAGCCACAAAGCCCAGAGTCCGGACCACAGCTAGAACCATGCACACTCCTCCTCCAGCAATCTGCATCTAGACTGAAGCCATTCAGAAGGGGGCAAGGAGCACTACCAAGGAGAATGACAGAGATAGATTTTACTTGACAATCTGTGGAGGACAATCTGAACAGCTCTCCTAGAAAGAGGAGCAATTGTTTCCATTTTGACTGAGCCTGACCCTATTTTCATACAATGATATATATACAGAGCTGGCCAGGCTTTTTCCTTATCCCTTCAGTTGGCCATAAGCAATGCATATCTGTCCAGCGGAGGTGATGATGGTAGTCGTTGAAGATGACAAGAGTATTTCCTTGGACCCCCATCTGTTGTTCCCTTGTATGAGCCAGGATAAGTCAGGAATAAGAGCCTTGTGTGAGCAAGAATAAGAGCCAAATCTCCATGCTGTCTGTCAGCTGGGATCAGATAGAGATAGAGCCTATGGCTTCCTGGGGCTTGAAAGATTCTACATCAGAACTGAAGCCTTGACCCCCAAACATGAGCTACTGTGCCAGTTGTGTTGCACAGGTTACTTTTTCTACATCCCCTTCTTTTTGCATATCGCAGAGGTGAATGCAGGCCTCCTACCTAGCTCAGCTCGTGGCACTCACCTACTTCCTGCCATTCCAGTCACTCAGTCTCAAGCCACTCCCTTCTTCATGAAGGAAGAAAACCCAGGTTTGGCCTTGGTTGAGGCCTTTGTTCTGGATACCCATCATCATGGCTGGACTTCGGACCCCTTGGCTCCCCATAACTACAAATAGGCTTCAAGGTCTTTATTCTTGTCATGTGTTGCATTGGGTATGGTAGATTGAAATTAACTTGACAGGATTCCAATAACTCATCTATGGAATTACGAATATGAGCTTTCCAGACTGAGGCAAGGACCAAGAAGTGCGCTCTGTTAACAGTTAACCCAGTATATGACAAGTGTGGGCCTATGGGCTCCACATACTACGAGGGAAGCTCAAAGGAGGGTGATATGGTTTCTCCCATCCATTCTCTATGTATCTATAGAGAACTCTCTGTGCTACGGTGTGGGTCACACTCTAGAAATTCATGATGGTTTAGGAATGAGTCCACCAGCAGAGCACTGGCCTAACATGTCTTCATATCAGAAACTTTTATATTTAATTTGGAGAAGAAAATACCCTAGAAAGCAGAAAGGTTGTCCTCAAATATTTCAAGTGCTTTTATGAGGAATGAATGTGAACCACCAAAGGACAGAGTTAGACTGAAGGACAAAAGTTATGAATTTTGTCCTAGCTTAAGAACATTCTGAAGGGGAGTAGCCAAATAACTCGATGGATTAAAGTGTCTACAAGCAGGTGCAGGAGCCAGGAGTTCGATCCCAGGCCTGCTGTGCTGCCCCCGCCCCCTGGGTCGTGCTGAGATAGCAAATGAGACTGGACGTGGTGGTGCCCATCTGTAATCCCAGCTCTTGGGAGGTTGTAAAAAGGTGGATCACCATGAGTCTGATCTAGTAGTGAGACCTTGAACACCCTGTAGACCCTTCCCTAAAATACACACACACATACACACACACACACACACACACACACACAGAACATTCTGAGAATCCATTTGATGATAGCAAGAGTTGTCTCTACACTGTGTCCCATGAAATGGAGGTGTACAAATGAGGGGGTAATAGACAATTCTTCCAAAGCCCTTAAGTCTAAGTCATGTGCAACTCTAATTCCTAAGCAGAAGTGGGACTCAGAGAGGGATCACGCCAGGGAATGGGAGATTTGAAGGTTCTGACCCCAAAGTCAGGAGACAGGAAGTGCATTGGTCTCTAAAACACTCCTGGGGACTTCATAGGAGAGCCAAATTCCTGGGGACCAGCAAGATGTATGAAGACAGCTTGAAGCAACAAAAACAAGAACAGGTAAGTGACAGGAAATGGCTCCACCAGACTCAGGGTTTTCTCAGTATGTTTTGAGTGGCCACATACCCTCCAGCCCTGAGTAGCACCTCGTGGTCGTTCCTCACTGCCTTGCAAGCCCAGTCTTCACCACTGGTTTTGTTGCCTGCCTCTCTCCCCTTTATTCTTATTTCTTTGTCCTCTGGATCTCCTTTCTCTTTTGGGCCCAAGCGACCTATCTGTTTTTCTACCTGACAATCCATCACAGCCTCCTTCTCTGTCCTTTTAGGAGGAAGAAGAAGTGTGTGTGTGTGTGTGTGTGTGAGAGAGAGAGAGAGAGAGAGAGAGAGAGAGAGAGAGAGAGATCAATGCTAGAGCAGCAGGCACTAGATCAGCAGTGAGGCACCAGGATAGTCCTGCAGAAGTGTGCACTAGGAGGGCTTGACTCAGGTAGTGTGGGGGGGGGTCTCCCCAGTCCCTCCATTCCAGGACCCCTGGCCCAATGGGCAGCAAGAGGGGCCTTGTCCACTTCTGCTCTTC